AAAAAAAAAAAAAAAAGAAATAAGGAGTCTGAGGCAGGGAGAAAAAGCTAAAGGAAAAGGCCTTTGTCCTCAGCAGCAGGGATGAGTGGAAGGACAGATGAGAGAGAAGAGCAGCTAGGAGAAAAAAGGCATGCAACACAGGAATAAGGAATTACTTTTGGGTTTGGAAACAACCTGCATTTCAGTGGTCTTAGCTTCAACAGAGGTGAGAACTGCTCCCTAAGGGAAGAGAGCTAACACACAGGGCTTCCTGAGGATTTCCAGTTCATACCCCGGTTGGGAGCTCTCTTGCTCTAGAGACACTGCACTAGGGTGGACTCTGGGGGCAGGCATGTTATCTGTGTCCAGCACAAAGAGCAGTTGCACTTACCAGGATTCTGCTAGGCTCCATGTATCCCTTCCGGGGCCATCATGGGGCTTGGAAGCAGTGGCCATAACTAACCAGAGTGGCAACGTGTTAACTCATTTAATGAGTTAATAACAATTCCATGAGTGAGGTACTTAATTGCCCCCTTTCTATAGGTGAGGAAAAGAGCTGGAGCTAACACGTAAACTCAGGCACTATAGCATTCTTAACTACTATGTGAGAGTCGTAGATAGTCAACTCTTGGAGTGACAAAGAAGCTCTGCTAACATTGTTAGCTAAAAAATCAGTTGAGAACATTTCTTAGAAAGTCAGAATTCTTGGTTTCTTCTATGTCACCTTATCTTGGACAATTCACTTCTTTTGCTCTTCATGCTGTCACTCAAGGGAGGGAAGTACAATAAAAATACACGCCAAGCCTGTTACCTGCTTCAATACAAGAGTCGTATTGTTTATTGTAATCAATAAACATATTGTAATCAGATTCTTCCAATTCTCTAGAAGGATTTTCCTTGTTCAAATCAACTATTTTTCTCCAGAATGTAGATTATCAGGTAGAACTTCAGGAGTTGCAATCTTTGATGTCATCCGTCACTAGGAGAAAAAAAAATGCATGTACATGCCCCCACTGCTCGTGAGATATCCCATCCTCTTTGGCTCCATTTATATATTGCAATAGGACAACAAGGGATTCCAGGAACTCCTTGTATTTGGGGAAAGAGGAAATCAACGTTGCCTTCTGCCTCATCATATTCCACATGGGATTCTACTCATCCATTTATTGAATAAATAAACATTTGAGTGTCTGTTATGTGCAAGACTGTCCTTTGCAAAGCTGAGCCCCTAAACACCTTATTCCTTCCTCTAATTGTGTGATGAGTCCCCTTCTCTTGCTTTTATCTTGCTTTTTCTGAAATGTGAACTACTAGGGTTGTAGGATTAAGAAATATCCTTTTGGTGTTACTTCCCCATCAGGCAGCTCCCAATTTTCCATGGAGTTAATGAGGTAGAGAGAGAATATGAATTTTCCCAAAGAGCAGCTAATAAAAAAAGCCGACTTACAATTCGTCTCAGAATGAATTAAATGATATTGATTCCTCTTATTTCATCCAGGCTGATATGGAACAAGTTTGCATTCCCTGAGAAACTGATCAGAGGGCAGGCAGAGTTGATTTGAGATGTGTTGGCTATTGTGTGAGGCCAACATGAAACTCAACAGTGGAACAGATAATTCCAGATAGACTATATCAATGTCCTGATTCATCAATAACCACTCATCATGAAGTGAGGTTTCCTCACTTCAGTGGGGAGACCAGTAAAAAGAATTCACATGTCATTTTCTGGGGCATAGAGTAGATAGACAGGAGTCTGTTAAGAAATAATTAGATAAGGCCAGCCCCATGGCTTAGCAGTTAAGTGCGCGCGCTCCACCACTGGCAGCCTGGGTTCAGATCCTGGGGGCGCACCGTCGCACCGCTTCTCCGGCCATGCTGAGGCCGCGTCCCACATACAGCAACTAGAAGGATGTGCAACTATGACATACCACTATCTACTGTGGCTTTGGGGGGGAAAAAAAAAAGGAGGAGGAGGATTGGCAATAGATGTTAGCTCAGAGCTGGTCTTCCTCAGCAACAAAAAAAGAGGAGCATTAACATGGATGTTAGCTCAGGGCTGATCTTCCTCACACACACAAAAAAAGAATAGAAATAATTAGATAGGTCTCATTTAAATAATAATATATATTTTTAATTAACACATACATGTAGCACCTAATTTCATGTTACTATTCATGTGTCATTCTATAGTTTCAATGCTGTGGCTAGGACTTGTGGGAGAATTCTTACCATTGAAGAATTTACAGTATAGTTGAGAAGTCAAGATTTAAGACAATATATGTGATCCCCAAACCCAAAAGTAATCTCTCTCTTTCCAGCATTTCACCTGGACCTTTGTGGCAATTCTATTCCAGCCTGTAAACTCTCATATATACAGCCCATAGCTTCTGACTCATGGCAAAATACTGTAGGTAAGTGCTCAATAAACACTAATAGGCAGAATGAGATAAGAAACTATGGTAAGTGGAAAGTGTTTGCCATTCAGCAATGATTATAGCACTGGATTTTTCAGGATGATCCCAACATTAACAACTGAATATGAAGCCATACAGGATTGTAGTTTGTGCCTGGGTTCTGGAGTTAGACTGCTTGAATTTGAATCCCGCTTCTGCCAGTTATTTGTTGTGTGACCTTAAATAAATTATGTACTTAATTTCTATGTGGCCAACTTCATATGTAAAAGGAGAATATTACTCTCGTTTGTGGTGAGAATTAATTGAGTTAATATACGTAAAGTGCTTAGAAAATTGCCTGGCACCTGGTAAACAATTTCTAAGTATAAGCTATTTGTTAATATTAAACCTGTGCCTCTTTCCCAAGATGACAAACAACAAATGTTGTTAGTCCACGTGTCTTTTGCTTCAATAAACATAGTACTCATTATGTTTGTTCAATAAACATACTAGTCATTAATTCCCTTAATTTGACAGTAAGAAAGAATTTTCTTCACGAGGTACAGATTGGGAAAACTAGGGGCTCAGGTTTAAGACTACCCAGATCCAGAAACTTTTCATTTTTCCCTTTTCTGGGATCCAAGTAGGCACTGAAGGAAAACACTTGTCTCAGAAAAGAAACATCTTTTCATTCTTTACGAAACGGAAACAAGGCGCAACAGAGTCCCAACCTATAGAAATGTAGCAACTCCTTGCCCCCAGAAGGCCTTGGGCGCAGCCGCAGCTTGCGCTCTAGTGCTCGCCAGCTTGCGTGTGACTGGCGTGCATTCCACCCTGCCCCCAAGGCCGTTTTACTGCGCACGCGCAGTCCATGCTCCAACCCCCCCACCGACGTGCACGTGCGCGTTCGCGCCGCTCACACTGTGGTGGAGGGCGCGCGCCCTGGAAAATTCCACACCCCAGCTAGCTCCACCCCATGCGCCTTCTTTCCTGCGCCAAGCACTTCACGCTTAGTCCCCATCCCGGCGGTCTTTGCGTGAACAAAATGGCAGCCACCGTGCTGCGGAGAGTGTCTTGCCTATCCAGGGCTTTAGGATGGTGGTCTCCGCAGGTTGGTAGGGACGGGGCGGATAGGACTCCAGAGGCTAGAGGAGGAGGACAAAGTAGAGGGAAATATCGCTTTGCAGTTATCCTTGGTAATCTTGGATGATACGACTTATACCTAGGCTAGGGAAGAGTTTGAGATAGACAGGACCCAGCTACCGAGCTAAGTGGCCAAGTGGGGAGCAAGTTCTCAGGGATTAAGTTTCTCCAGTTTGGTCTGGGTCTGTCTGGCGAGGAGGTGTTAAAGGGGAAAGATGTAATGGTTTGGTAGATGGGCTCGCCTCCTTTTGATTCTTATAAATATCCTAAATTAAGCAGTAGCTGGAAAGGAGGGAGTCCTGTATTGTCACTGTACCAGCTTCAACAGACCTCACGTCAGAGAAAAATTAAAAAGCTTATTTGTGTTTTTTATTATTATTTATTTATTTTTTTGTGAGGAGGATCAGTCCTGAGCTAATATCCGTGCTAATCCTCCTCTTTTTGCTGAGGAAGACCGGCTCTGAGCTAACATCTATTGCCAATCCTCCTCCTTTTTTTCCCCCAAAGCCCCATAGTTGTATGTCATAGTTGCACATCCTTCTAGTTGCTGTATGTGGGACGCGGCCTCAGCATGGCCAGAGAAGCGGTGTGTTGGTCTGCGCCCGGTATCCGAACCCCGGGCCACCAGTAGCAGAGCGTGCACACTTAACCGCTAAGCCACGGGGCGGGCCCTAAAAAGCTTATTGATCAGTTGGGAGCTAGAATGACAGCATAAAGTTTACAGTGAGGCTCCCAGTAGAATGAGCAGAATGTAATCTGAGTAAATATAGAGATGCCAAGAAGAGGATTTTTCTTATGCTTTAATAGTAGCATTTTGCTCATTTCAGTATTGGGTTGGTGTTTAAGTTCCCCATCAGACTGAAGGTTCTTTGAAAGTAGAAGCTTTGCTTTAATCAACTCTGCATCCCTAGGAGTTGGTATAGTCTTGTACTATGGAAAGTACTAAAGGAAAGCCTTTAGTAAGTGTTGAGTGGTGTTAGTAAAGGTTGCTTACTGGCTTCTAGTAAGAGACACCCAGAAGTGTTAAGGTAGTAATGCATTTCCCCACATATGTGGCTTTCTAATTGTTTCTAAGTCATTCTTTGGATGTGCCCTTTCTATCTTTGCTTAGAGTTTGTTCAAGGTAGTAGATTTTTTTCCAAGTTACCTATATCCTAATCTTTTCCTGCCTTCCAGCCAGTCTTGGTGACTCAGTCCACAGCTGTAATTCCAGTGAGAACTAAAAAACGTTTCACACCCCCTACTTATGAACCTAAATTCAAATCAGAAAAGGAGTTTGTAGAACATGCCCGGAAAGCAGGACTGGTCATTCCTCCGGAACGTCTGGAGCGTCCCATACATCTGGCCTGTACAGGTGAGGCATATTTCTGAGACGCTGACCCGATCCCCTTCTGTCAGAGATCTGGAAGTGGAATGATTTGGGCTATGATTGACAGCATTTAATTAACCACAAAATTAACCGCAAAATCAGTTCAACCTCAATAATGATTTTATATACACTATATTTCATGAGGTCATCTTTGATCTTGTTTTCACACTGTTCCTAGAAGGCAAGGGTGAAATTTCTCCATTTGGTACAAGAAGAAACTGAGACTCTGAGAGAAAACTTAAATTATCTTATTATGTTTTTTGTAATGTAACGTGGTCCCCTCTACATGGAAGTCTGTTTCATTAGTCTAATTTATATCCAGGATCCCTCCCAATTTTATATGACCTCAAGATAACCTTTTCTCAATCTTTCAGTGTTTTTTTCAGTTTTCTCCATCTCTCATTACAGCTGGTATCTTTGATGCCTATGTTCCTCCAGAGGGTGATGCTCGAGTGTCGTCTCTTTCAAAGGAAGGACTGGCACGGAGAGCTGAGCGATTGAAGAAGAATGTGGCATCACAATTGTCGTAGGTGTCTGAGACCACTGGGAGTTGATAGTAGAATAAAAATTTCTTAGCACTACTTTATTCTTGGGTTAATTGGGTTGGATATAACTCCCTTGATAACTCGACAGACTTTTCTTTTTCTGTAATAGAGTCTGTAATGTAGAGTAATAGGTGCATTTTGATTCTTAGCATCTCAGCCTTTATTGTTAGTTTTTGTCACATCAGGAATATGATTTTGAAGTTTGTAAGACACTTTTTTGATCACATATTTTACAATTTAAAATAATAATAAAAGAGAGCATATTTATATGAGAAGTGCCTTAGAGTTTAAACTTCAGAGAGGAAGAAAAGCCAAAAAAGGTCAAGAAGACACACCTGTTTGAGGGAGCTAACTGGGCCTTAGTTAAGGAGCATAAGTCAGAACCTTCTTCTTAGTCTCTCTTTTAGTTGAAAGGACAGAAACATTTACTATTTGTCACTCTGAGGTTCTTTAGGGTCGTATATAGATATCTATGCCCAAGTATATTGAGTCAGTGTTAGTTCTTCAGGTGGCCATAACTTACTTCTGTAAATACACATCTTATCACATCACTTTTCCTGTTTGTTTTTTTTTTTTTTTTTGTGAGGAAGACCAGCCCTGAGCTAACATCCGATGCCAATCCTCCTCTTTTTGCTGAGGAAGATTGGCCCTGGGCTAACATCTGTGCCCATCTTCCTCTACTTGATATAGGACACTGCCTCAGCATTGCTTGACAAGTGGTGTGTCAGTGCACGCCCGGGATCCGAACCGATGAACCACCAGCCGCCAAAGTGGAGCTTGCACACTTAACCGCTGCGCCACCACGCCAGCCCCACACCTTTCCTGTTTAAAACTCTTGTGGCTCCCTATTACCTGAACCAGATTTTTTCAGTGGTGTTCAAGGCTTTTTATATTTTTTAAATTTTTTATTTATTTTTATTTTTAATTTTTTTTGTGAGGACGATCAGCCCTGAACTAACATCCATGCCAATTCTCCTTTTGCTGAGGAAGACTGGCCCTGAGCTAACATCTGTGCCGATCTTCCTCTGCTTTATGTGGGACGCCACCACAGCATGGCCTGACAAGTGGTGCATCAGTGCACGCCCAGGATCTGAACCCGGGCCGCCAGCAGCAGAGCGTGTGCGCTTAACCGCTACGCTATGGGGCTGGCCCAAGGCTTTTTATCATGTGGCTCTTGCCTTCTTCTCCACCATCATCTTCTCCTTATTCCATTTTGCTTATCCTAAACTTCAGCATTTCCAAACTAATTGCCAGTTCCTTAACGGTATTGTGCAATGCCTCTTTGTCTTTGCACGTCTTTTCCTTTGCCTGAAAATGTCTTTTTACCCCTTCTTTACCTGGTAACTGGAACTTCATTTCTCAAGAACCAGTTGAGGAGTCAGCCTGGTGGCATAGTGGTTAAGTTCACACACTCTGCTTTGGCAGCCCTAAGTTTGCAGGTTCGGATCCCACACCACTATGCACCACTCATTAAGCCATACTGTGGTGCCGTCCCACATACAAAATAGAGGAAGATTGGCATAGATGTTAGCTCAGGGCCAATCTTCCTCAGGGGGAGCATCGTGTCTGCTTTTAAGCCTTCCCTGACTCTTTTTTAGAGTTGCCTTTGCTATAATTGTAACTGTATACTTACACTTACTACTTCTAATAACTCTGTACTGCGATGATTTGCTTTCATGTGTTTCTGTCCTGGACTCTGAGCTCTTTGGTAGTAGGGTCCATGATGATGATGAATAAAACATATGTGGTTTTATCATGGAGTTATCATCCATTAACTCCATGGAGTTAATGGAAAACAGCCATTAAATACTGATTGCACACAAATAATTACAAGTATGGTGAAGTATGAGTGCTGTGGGAACATATGGGAAAGGGTAACTTGGTCTGGGAGTTCAGGGAAGGCTTCCCTGAGGAGATGGTATTTAAAGCTGGGATCTAAAGAATTGCTTGGAGTTAGCTGGGTAGAAGGGTGCAGTGAGAAGTAGCATTCTAGGGAGACAAAACAGAACAAGCAAGCTCTGAGGTGAAAAGAGAGTGAAGGGAGTGTTGGATTTTTGTCAAATTCTTTTTCTGTGTCTGTTGAGATGATCATATGATATTTGTCCTTTATTCTATTGATACAGTGTATTACATTAATTGATTTTTGAATGGTAAGCCAACCTTGCATTCTGGAGTAAATTCCACTTGGTCATGGTGTCTCTCATCCTCTTAATATACTTATAGTCACACTTTGATTAGATCAGAATTCCCTGTTTATGTTATTATAGTTATGAAAATGCTGTTGATAGCTGAGTCATGCAGTACATGATCATGACTTTGCCTTTCCTGCATAACATTTTTTTTCTGGAGTTAAGTGTCTTTTTTTCTCATTTGCTTACAGAACCCCTGGTTGTGTAAATTTCCTCTCAGTACATTGAAATCATTAAGTATTTTATCAATTTTATCTTCAAGAAGAAATTCCTCCTGGAGCCTTCTTACCTATTTCAGTCTGGACTGGTTATCCTTTAGTCCCATTGTATGTCTTTGGATCTACTTCTGTCATCATCCTGATATTCCTTTGCCTTGCTCTTGTGTTGTATTCCCTGTTTCCTGGGTTTTACATCTTTCATGGTTTATTCTGTTATTTTGGTGGAGCACGTTCCCCGGCAGCTTCGGGAGAAAGGATGTATGGTAGATAAAGGAGATCTTGCAAATATAAGGAAAAGTCTTTCTTTTACTCTCCCACTTCTTTCATAATTTGCCCAGGTTTAGAATTCTGGGCTAGAAATCATTTCTTCCTTAATTAAAAGCACTGCTCCATGTCTTTCTAATTTCTGATGTTGCTAGTTAGAAGCCTGATGTCATTCTGACTCTTGAGTTTTTGTATGAAACCTGTGTTTTCTTTCTAAGTGCTTATAGGATGTTTTTTTTTGATGCCAGAATTCTGAAATTTCACTATGAGAAGGCCTGGTCTTTCTTTGGAATGACTGATTTAGGTTCGAGTTAGAAGGTTGAATTTATAGGACTTGGCACATTCAAAAAATAATTATTGAATAAGCGGACAGACATTAATGGAGGTTAATATAAGCTGTGAGTTATGGGAATTGTATGAAGTCTTCTTTAGAAATGATTCTCATGCTTAATTTTACAGAATCCGGAGGATAAGAGAATGTGATGCTAATTTTAAAATAAAGGACTTCCCTGAAAAAGCTAAAGATATCTTCATTGAAGCTCACCTTTGTCTAAACAAGTAAGTAAACTCCCTATCTTATACTCGTTATGTTCTCAGCAGCTCTTATTCTAGGCACAGATTTTTTTTTTCCTTTAAGTAAGAGTTCTAGAGTGGGAGAACTTCCTGTGTGGGAAATAATTGGAGCCTGGAGCTGTCCTTGACTCCTCTCCCTGCTCCTGGGAGTTTTCACCATGTGATCTGGCTCAGCTCTGCCCACAAGTGTTGGGAGACTCTGCCAAAGGGCTGCTGTTTCACCCCACCTGATCCCTAATTCATCCTGACTCTTTTTGTGTGCTTGTCTTATGTATGTACATTTCCCTTTTCTTAGTTGTTTTTTTTATTTTATTTTTTTGTGAGGCAGATCAGCCCTGAGCTAACATCCATGCTAATCCTCCTCTTTTTGCTGAGGAAGACCGGCTCTGAGCTAACATCTAATGCCAATCCTCCTCCTTTTTTTTCCCC